TTAAAAAAAATCTTATATATATCTCAATTAACACCTCGATTAAAGTGCCGGATTTACATTAGATGCGATAAAAAGTGTGTCCCATCCCAACGTAAAACAATCCGATGATTGTTGTTTGACATTTATCCACTGTAACCCACCTCCCCCGTTGGATGTAAGAGAAAGGGCCCTTGCAAATAAAACAAAGAAGCAAACATCATAAGTCGGAAACGAGTGGATTTTACTGGTTGTTTCCTTCTTTAACTTCACGACTCTCTACCCCTTTTCTTGTTTTTTGTTTGCCAATCCTTCTTTCAATTCGAATCGGTGTACATCAGCGTAGCGTCGACAGCACACCAGAATCCATCTCTGTGAGTAGCCAGATAGATCGCTTCTTCTTCCGTCCTCTCTCTTTCCCCATTTGCCTCCCTACCGCTTTTCTGGTTGGTTGCCCAGAGATCAGAGATGGTTGAGAAGTAAGTCTACAGGTTAACTATTAACTTATACTTAATCATGTAGTTAAAAATAATTTCAATTCCTCGAATCCATGTTAAAGACAAGATTTTTTCCCTTTTTTATTTTCGTTCTTGCGTGGTAACATATTTTCATTTATTATTAATATTTTATTCATGTAGCGAGGTTGAATTTTAAATTAATTTACTCTTTATATTTAAAAATATTTGTTATTTTTTAAATTTAAATTTATTTCTTAATTATTTGTTTTTTTTTTCATTTTATAGTATTGGGAAATATTTTTTCTTAATTTATCATTATCATTATTTATTTATTTTAATTAATTAAGTAGATTATTTAATAATTTTAAATAATTAAAATGATAATTAAAAAAGTTAATGTATATTAAATACAAAATTTTATATAATATTATTTTAAATAATTAAGAATTTGCACTTGATCCTTCGGATCAACTGGCACTTAGTCAGTTTGAGATGCATCCTCCTTCTTTTATGGGGGGTTTCGAGCCTGCCCCGTGACAATTTGTTCAAAAAAAAATAACAATAATAATAATTAAGAATTTAATTCAATTTAAATAATCCCAACTAAATACTAATCCTAAAGAAAATGAAAAGGGTAATTTGACAATCAATATCAAGTAACACCTTTAAACTACTTTCTCAAAAAAAGCAACACCTTTAAACTATTTTCAAAATATATATATGTATATCTAAATACTAATCCTAAATAAAACGAAAAGAGTTATTTATTAATCAATACCAACAACACCTTTAACTATTTTCAAAAAATTTATATAGATTTTTCGACCCTGGTGCACCTTTAAAATATTGGATAAAAAGACCGTCTATATATATATATGTCTCAACTAACACCTCACTTAGAGTGTTGGATTTACATTGGATGGGATAAAAAGTTTGTCGCATCCTACTGTAAAGCATGTTTGATAAAGTAAAATATAATGATATATTTTAATTATTTGTATTTATTAATTAAATTATTTAATAATTTTAAATAATTAAAATCATAATTAAAAAAGTTAATGTACATTAAATATAAAATTTTTATATAATATTATTTTAAATAATTAAAATTTTAATTCAATTTAAATAATCCCAACTAAATACTAATCCTAAATAAAACAAGAAGAGTTATTTATTAA